TGGTGGTGTACTGGTGTTCCCGAGTTGATAGGACCACGACGTATTCGTCGTCTCGCCCCACATAATTGCATAAATAATTAAAAGTTCATACACAAAATCATTAATATATTTTTTCTTGCATATGATATTGTTACATTATATATATATATATATATATATATATATATATATATATATATGATAAACTAATCTCATATTACATAAGAGAATATGTTTAGAGGTGGTAATATAAGTTGAACCCGACGGATCAACCCGTCAATCCGCCAAAATGGGGCGGGTTGGGTTACACCTTTTTATCCACCAACCCGCCTCAACTCGCCCTGTTTAGTAGTGGGTCAAAATGGATTGGAGGCGGGTCAGAGCAGGTTGGCCCGCGGGTCAATTTTTTTTTTTTTTACTATTAGATAGTATTTTATTTGTCGTTAAGTTTTTGTGATATACATTTTTTTTTATTTTAGTACTCCCCTAGAAAAATAAAGGACAAAGATTATCCACATATAGAGACAAAAATAAGTTCCTAAAAAGTATCTAACTAAATATTAAATTATACTTAGGCTTGAGATTGAAAAAAAATTTAAGGGAAATGTGAAATAAAAATAAGTAATATTATAAAATTAATAAAATATAATTTTTTATTATTTTTTAATTGTTTATTGTTTTTTAGGCGGGTTGACCTGCCAACCCCCTCAAAACGGGTTGGTTGATGTTTTCAACCCACCATCAAACGGCGGGTTGAAGGTGGATCGGGGCGAGTTGGCCCGTTTTGCCACCTTTAAGTATGTCTTATGTTATAAGATAAATTTGATGTGCATCCCACTAAAAAAAAAAATGCGATCCATCTTTTTTTTGTTACCCACATAAGAGAAGTTAACTCCTTTAACATGAAATTAATTTATCTCTCTCTCTATATATATATATATATGAGACAGGATCAACTTACACTAGTGTAAGAATAATAACTCTTACACTCAATCTTAACCGTTGATTTCCATCTATCAAACGACTGTAATTAATTACATTATTCTCATCAATTAATTATTAATTATAACCGTTAGATATGCGAAAATCAACGATTAAGATTGAGTGTAAGAGTAATAACTCTTACACCAGTGTAAAAAAATCCTGCCATTATATATACATATATATATATATATATATATATATATATATATATATATATATATATATATATATGGGGCAAGATATTCTTACACCGGTGTAAGAGTTAGAAGTCTTACACTCAATCTTGACCATTGATCCACTTGTATCCAATGGCTCACATTACTAAAAAATTTGAGCCCTTAGATATAAGTGAGATCGGTGGACAAGATTAAGAGTGTAACTTACACTGGTGTAAAATGATCCTGACCCATATATATATATATATATATATATATATATATATATATATATATATATATATATATATATATATATAAGGGCAGGTTCCTTTTACATCAGTGTAAGAGTAATAAATCTTACACCATATCTCATTCGTTGATGACGGAAATTATCGGTTGGTATTTGTATACGGGCCTGTTTAGAGCACCTGATAAATAAGATAGGATAGGACAACTTATCATATCCTACTTTTATCTTTTTTTTTTGTGGGTCAATAAATATGATTAGCTTATCCTATTGTCTCATTTTATCCTATCCAATACATGATTTCTTATCCTATGGGGGGAGCTGGGTTAGGATTCAACAGGATAGAATACCAATATTGGATGCCCAATATATCCCCACGCTACCCAACAGGATCTGAATCATACTTGAGATAATTTTTTCTCTCAAACTGGTTGGGATCGACGTTTAAACGCATACAAACGTTTCCACCATTGAAGCGATTCAGGTGAAAAAAACCCAGATTTATGGCGACTTAGATTTGGGAGAAAAAAAAAATGAAGAGGAAGAGTCTTCAAGCGGTGGTCGACGGAACCGAATCCTCAACAACCCCTTGTGAGTAAATTTGGCCAATGAAACTTAAAAAAGAAACTTTAGAAAGGAACTTAAGAAAGGAACAGAACTGAAGGAAGAAGAAAGGGAAATACTTGCTTGAAGAGAGAATAAAAGTCTTAAGAGTGAAAAAGTTAATTAAAAATATTTTGTTTAAAATTATAATTGTTGTTATCAAAAAAAAAATTATAATTGTTAGAACTGTACAAATAAATTTAAAAAATTTAAAAATTAGTTTTTGATAAATTATATGACATTATCTTAAAAAGGGTATTTTATTTTATTTGTATCATATCCTGATGATATCTGGTTCGCCTCAAACACATGATAAGATAACATAATCTTATCAGATTGCTAATCAGGTGCTTATGAAACACAAGACATGATATGAGGCTGATATCATATCCTACCCTTATTCAACTCTCTTATCTTATTCGTTTTTATCCTATCATGTCTATCAAACGAGCCCATAGTGTAATTAATGATAAATTAATATTAATTAATTTGAATGACTTCCTATTATAATCATCGGATGCATGGAAATCAACGGTTAAGATGTTATGTAAGACTTATTAGTCTTACATCAGTGTAAAATGATGATCATGATCCATATATATATGTTACTAAAATGAAAGTTATAAATTGTTTTTAAATTTTTAATAGTACTTATTCTATTATTTAAAACTTCAGATATTAGATATTCGAATTTTCATCTAACCGCTCAATTAAGGGTGTAAATAGGCTAGGTTAAGTTTTGGCTTAAATAGATCAGGTCTGTGTTAAAAAATTTAAGCTTGATCTGGCCTGTTAGTCTGCGTAGGCCCAAATTACAAGTCTTGCTTGACCTAAATTTGAAAAATAAAAACCTTGGTCTATGCATATTAACTTGTTTAAACATTTAAAATAATCAATAATAAAAAAATAACTAAAATAATATTATTTTATTATTCAAAATTATTGAAATAATTTTATTTAAAATAAATAATATGATATAGATCGGGATGTAGACTTAGAGGCCCGACAAGTATAAAAAAACCCTATGGCCTGCTTTTTAAATAAGTTTTTTAAAAAAATTAGACCTATTCTATTTAACTATTTATAATAAGCTAAATATAGCCTAATATAAGTTCAGTCATAGGTCTTTATAGACCGGCCTAGACTATTTATACCCTTACACCCAATTCACTTCATTACCTCAATATTTGTTTCTTTTATATATATATATATATATATATATATATATATATATATATATATATATATATAGAGAGAGAGAGAGAGAGAGAAATAATTATCTCATTTTACATGAGATAATTATCTCATGCACTAGATACAAATTGAATGTGGGACCCACTTTATTCTCTCTCCTCTCTCTTTCGTATGTGTGTATAAGAGATTTTTTTCTTTCATATTAAATGAGAAAAATGATATGCGTCTGACATATGGAGATTTCTAAGTAAAAGAAGCAAGGAATTCATCATAAAAGTGTGAAAATAAGCTTATAAATGCAAGAAATATTGATTATTCCTTCTCAATCATTCTCTCACTCAATTTATGCATTTTGATAGCAGGAAACACCAAAAAGAAGTGAAAGAGAGAAGTTAAAATTGCATAGTCTCGCGCAAAAAATGGCGCGATCCGCGCGGATTTGGCGCTGATCGCGCAGGCGTCATGAATGCAGTCCTTGATTTGTGGAGTCGCGAATTTGGCACTGATCGCGCCGGCGTCATGAATGCATTCCTTGATTTGTGGAGTTTGATTAAAAGTGAAATTTAATCAAGTTAATGAGAGGATTATGACCTGGTTGATTGGTGGAATTATGAGAAAAATGGAAATTTAATCAGAATTAATTCAAGGATTATGACCTGATTGAGTAGCTGGCTATATAAAGGAAGCAGAAACTCTAAAACAACATCATCTTTAGTTGGAGAGAATTCTTGGAGACTCATGTTGGAGATCCTTCATCTTCATCTTCTTTTTCTTTATTGCTTTTATGAATTCTTTTTATTTTAAATTGTCAGACATGAATATGTCTGGCTAGTTTTTTATATTGTGGTAAGGGTCACAACCCTTGATGTGAACCCCTTGTATTTTGGTTAAGTTTATGATTAATTATTCAATTGAATTTATTTTACTCTGTTCTTCATCCCATAATTCATTTAGAATTCGCGACTCTATTAGGATTGCGAGGGTTAGGGTTCACAATAGGGATATTGGGATTCTAATTCCTGACAAAGGATAAGATAACTGTTCATGTATGCACTAGGGATAGGCTACATGAACTGCAAATGTGGAAAATTCACTGGGCTTAAGGATTAACTTGAAAAGCTAAGGGATTAGGATTCTAATAGGGTTAATAAGGTTAAGATCACTAAGGGATTAGGGCTTAACTCATTAATTATAGATGGTGAATTATTTGGTTAATTGGGTAATTAAATATAAATATTAATCAATATTACAAGGTGGGGATCGGAAATGTGTTGGCGTCCTTTACTGCAATAGTTTTTCTTTTAATATTTTTCTCAAATCTCAATCTTTCATTTTTTAATTTCTTCAAATTTCTCTCTGAATTATTCACGAAATATTGAATAGTTCACAATTGTTACAAATACCATTATTTTCAAACCAACCCTTGTTCATCCAATAAGAAAGGAATAGTTAAATTTAAATCTGGTGCCTCAATCCTCGTGGGACGATATCTTACTCACTTTTATTACTTGGTACGATCGGTGCACTTGTCGATTTTACGCAACAAAAAACAATTCTCATATATATATATATATATATATATATATGCGTCTCTATATTATTAGTAACTAGTGAATTACCCGTGCGATGCCCGCGGGAAAAAGAACGAAATTGTTCCGTCGTTGGTTAATCATCGCACCGGTAAATCAACACTTTCATCTTGTTATCAAGCTCTGAACGGTACTATGGTGGAGGTATAAACATGAAGGAACAACAAATAAAAAAACAAACCTATTACTTGAGAATTATGTGAAATAAAAAAGAATTATCTTGTTATTTTGTGCTATTTTTGAACTTCAAAAGGCTACAGCATTCACACAAAACTTATAAATATCAACCATAAACAAATATGCAACTCATGGGCATTGATTGTTATGTAAAACAAATATAGTTATGTACTTAATAATTCATTCTTTAAATATAACCACCAATGAACCTTCTCCTTTGTATTATTACTAGTGAATTACTCGTGCCGATGCACGTGAAAAAAAATTGGTTTGTTTGGCGTGGTGGGTCGGCCCTCCGGGCCGAACTCATTTTGTCAGTATTTCAAAGGTCCCAAACAATCATTTTTTTAAATAACAAAACAATCATTCATTGTTACATTACAAATAGGAAAGAAAATAGGATAATAAAGGTCATATCTTTGAAGATAGATAAGGAAAAGAGACGCGAATAAACAGCCATTTTGACCTGTACCATACAACGAAGTTATATCTTTGAAGAAAGAACCCACTATTCGTAACGCAGCCATTTTCATCAAGTATCAATATCTTCAATCCATGTTTACTCTTTACTCTAGACAGTGCCACATATAATTGCCCATGAGTGAAGACAGGCTTAGGGAGATAAATTGCAACATGTGAAAGTGATTATCCTTGACTCTTGTTGATAGTCATGACAAACGATACAATCAGGGGGAATTGTCTTCTTTGGAAATTTATAGGAAATGTATGACTCGATGGGCTCATCGTCATTCTAGGGATTAACACAGTTTCCCCTATATTGCTTCCTGTAAGTACAATTGCCTCAACAACATGATTCCCTAATTTTGTAATAAGCAATCTCGTGTCATTGCATAAACCTCTCGATTGATCAATATTTCTTAATAGCATTACTGGAACTTTAACTTTCAAGATTAATTTATTATCAGGAATCCCTGAGCATGATAATGTATTTAAGATCTTAGGGGTGATTTCATCATCCTCAACAGAGGAAGTCCCACCTTGCTTAAGAATTTTATCCGAACTCAAAAAAGTCCTTTCTTCACCAGGAATCATAGACATTAGGTGCTCGTTTAGCATAGCAACATCGGACAATTTAGGAGTTAGAATAGCACGTTCTTTAAAGAAGGTCTGATCCAAAATATTATCCAAGAGATTCGGATAAAAAGAATTAACCATATCCGACAGCGGATCTTCCGATTCTCTAATCAACAATTCATCTGGAATTGTTATAATAGATTCTCCGTCAACATCATCACCAAGATTACCATCCCCAACTTTAAGTAGCCACTTAGAAAATTCTTTTATTTCCTCTAAATTGTGAGCGCTACTTCCAGAATTAAGACGCATGTTCTTGGTCAAAGTTAATAAATGACAATGGGACCATAGATGAGAAGAATTGATGGTTGCATGAACTATATCTTGTCTGCTGCCATGAGGAATGACAGGTAATATTTGTCGAAAGTCACCTCCTAGAACAACAACTTTTCCACTAAATGGCATATCAACACAGCTTGTATCAGAAATTCTAAGAACATCTCTCAGTGTCCTATCCAGAGCCTCAAAGCAAAATCTATGTACCATTGGAGCTTCATCCCAAATGATTAACTTTGTTTTTGACAGCAACTCAGCTATAGTATATTTCGGCCTTATATTACACGTTGAATCTTCATTGATTTGAATAGGAATACGAAATCTAGAATGCGTTGTTTGTCCTCCAGGAAGCAGAAGGGAAGCAATTCCGCTAGAAGCAACATTAAGTACGATTCCAGCTTTTGATCTAATAGATGCTGAAAGAGTATTCCAAATAAATGTTTTTCCTGTACCACCGAACCCGTATAGGAAAAATAACCCTCCATTACCTGCCGTAACTGCTGAAACAATCTTATCATAAATAGCTTTCTGCTCATCAGTGAGGGAATTAATTAGTCTTTTATGCTCCTCTTCCAAAGCAAATCTGTCATACATTAATTCATCCAACACTAATCGATTTTGCATATCAAGCAAAGTTTCACTATTGATGCGTGGCATTGACGGATAATCAGAGAGACATTTTCCATTGCTCTGCAGTACCTTATCAATTTCTTCAAGAGTTATGTTTTTTATAGACTCTTCTGTAAGAATTGCATCTGACAAAGCATAAAATTCAAAGGAAAAAAAATTAAAAACTTAACAAAGATAAAGTAATCAAAGAAAGAAAAGAGAGCGAAATAAGTACTAAAGCATCATTTGCTGAATGCGGGCAAAAAAAAAAAAAAATAAGCACTAAAGTAACATTTGCTGAATACGGGCAAAAAAAGCTAATAAGTACTAAGGCAGCATATGCTGATTTCGGTTAAACAAAAAAAAAATTGTATGAAATATTATTATAACACGTACCTTGATGTCCTATTCTTTTCCTATGCCGATAAACAACGTCGTCGGATAAAAATTTCCAACACTCTTCCCAAACTTTTTCAGGTCTGTTCATTGAGTTGGCAAATAACAACAGATCAAACAGACATCTAAGATAAGCAGCAGATCCCCAGGTACTTGCCTCCTTAATTGCATCAATGTACTCATTGTCATCATCCAGAAGTCCTAAAGAATAGCACGCATCCTTAAATGTAGGAAAAACCACGCCATTGATCGTTCTAAGATCTTCATAACTCGTGCAACCTCTTTGAAAATTAAGCAAGGTGCGAAGATATGAATCTTCTCCATTATTGGCAGAAAAACGATTTATCCTTCCAATGGAAAATCTTTTTTTTCTCGGATTCCATTCATGCGTTTTTTCTTTGAAAACAAATTCAGTCGGGTACTCTCCATAAGTTAGATGCCTACCTTTTGGACATTTTTTATTTGCATCCATCCAAGACTCAAAAATTGACAGTCTAGACTCCGCCCTTGTCTTTACATCATACAACGAATCATTATCACCGAAAATAATGTTCTTTTCATTAGGCAAGTGAAATGGCAATCTCTGAACAGGGGGATATCTCGAATGAATGTCAAATCCAAATATTCTCCAAGCTGCTTCACATGCGGAGACATACTATCATAAATAAATAAATCGGTGAACATTTAAGTTAATAATTTCTCAAAAAAATTGTACCAATTTTGTAGGAAAGCAAAACACAATGGAGATTATTTTTAGTACCTGCAGTCATAAAACATTTTTATTTCATCGTCCGAATGATTTATGGCAGCTGTCACTCTGTCATTCCCTTTGTGGATGTTATTAAAAAGATATTTAATGGCACTTCTCTGGCAAGTATATTCAACGTTGATATGAGCCTGGTACTTTAAAAGAAGGTGTGCATTATAGGGCACAACATAACGATTATCAAGTTCAACACCATTTTTGTTCACAACTCTCCCATCATTTCTTCTCTTATAATGAGGAAATCCATCATCGTCAATCAAAGTACGGGAGCAGAAGTTATTTGGAAATTTTTTTGAACACCGTCCGTCCTTCATGCAAGGAGATTTGTAATTTTCAGGACCACATGGACCATGTATCATGTAACTCGTGACAGCCATAAACAGCGTAGGATTCATTTCCTTGTCAGGTATCTCCGCTGAAATCAATTTATCAATATCAAGAGCACTTTCAGCTTTGCTTGAAGGGTTCAAGAATAGAAGAATATGAGCATGAGGTAGTCCGCGCTTTTGGAATTCGATTGTACAAACATCTGTTACATTCAAAGAATATAACATAAGTAATAATAAGAATACAACAACGTTATAGAAAGATTCAATGCATGAAGTAAATTTTTTTGTATAAAATCCAGTTAACAAAAAGAGTATCAAGTTTATAATATACTTACATGCAATGACTCTGCCAAGAATATTTTCCTTTTTTAAATCATGTAGCAACTGGTCCAATTTGAACTTGAAGACTCTGCATAGAATATCAGGCCGATCTTCAGGGTTCAGCTGTCTGGCCCTAACAAATCGTGTAATTTCTGGCCACTTAGGATTGCACGTAATTGTTATAAAAAGATGAGGATATCCAGCCCAACGGCAAATTGCGAAAGCATCTTTACAATTTTCAGCCATATATCTAGGTCCGCCTGTGAATGAAGAAGGTATAATGATACGTTTTCCAGTGCTCAGTGCTGCATCTTCACCGCTATCTAATGAATGTTTTATATTTTTGTACAACTCAGCTCTCAGATGACTCTAGTTATATCGAATGAAATTAAGCCGTTCAAACTCAATCATAGTGTATGCATCAACCAGAAGTTGTTGGAAAAGTTTCCTTGATCGATGTAGAATTTCTGATTCTCCAGATCGCATCTGAAGTCTAAAAGAAAAAAATTCCTTCATGCTGATCATGGCTCTTGCATTTTTCCTACCACTGGATACAGTACGCTGGACATCATCACGATAACCGTCTTCATCGTATGGAAATAACAATGGATACTGCTAGCCAAGATATAATGGATGCTTCACATCGATGCGCTGCAATACTCTATCTTGTGTTTCAATAATGATATCCCTATCGCCCATAGCACTGTCTATATCTCCAACAATCAAAGCTGCCACTTCGGATGCTGTCGGAAGATTATAAACTCTTCCATCACTACCACACCTTCGAATAAGTCTCAACTTTACACCATTAAAGTCATCTTCCTTATAACGGTCTCTAGCGTACCTGAAAGACTGAGCTATACTGTTGTGCCTGTTGTGCTTATCGAACATCTCCTTCAATAATCGGATAATTTCATGATCAAGCATATCTTCAGTACTGGTGGAACTGCAAATTTAATAAATAAAAAAATTGTCATTCATATTACTCAACATAAAAAGATACTCCACATATGAAACATGAGAATTGGGTCAAAAAAATATATATACCTTAGACAACCAAGTCTGTTGTTCACTTCATGCTCAGTGTCGTAAATATAAAGTTGAGCAAATTTTGGAGACTGACTATCAGCAGGCAGAAGACTGCCAATTAAATGATGAACTCTCCCCCCAACTCTAAAACAGTAAAGGCCAGAACCTTGATTTACTGATCCATCCACTTTTGCTTCAAAGGAGGTGAAGGAAAAAATCATATTGTACGCTCTAATATTTCGCAAAAAATGGCGGCTCGTCATATGGGAATTAGCATGCAATTGAAGCAATGTATCCGGAGCAGTTTTTAACAAAGGAAGTTGAACTTTTCCATTGACACATCACAATCCAAATTGCGGCATACTTGGGTTACGATCCCTCTTAGTTCTTTCTGCATACCACATTTGTGCTCCACAATGCTCGCAACAAAAGTAGGATCCCCTGCGTCCCAATAATCTAAACATATACAAATATTTTTAGATTGAAATAAGCTTGGTTGTCAGACATGAAGTTTTTTATTTGTAACAGCAATTATTTTAACAACAAAGGTTAAAAAAAACGATTAGATTACATGATCAACATCAATTATTTTAAAAACAAAGATGACGACAAAGAGTGATTTAGTAGTTATAAATCAATGAATAAGCAATCTTGACCATTGATTTAAAGTAACAAATCCTGTCAATTGAAAATATAATTCTTTTTTGTATTTATTATATTCATCGATTTACCATTAAAGGAAACTTTTTTAAATGTTGTAGTGTGAACACATTGGTGAAATTGAACCACAGTGCGACACGTCAACAAGGTTTCCACAGAATGGAATTCCTTTATAATATAAGATTCAATATGATCATGTCTTATTGTTTCAACCGTACACAAAATTTGCTACAAAATGAAATCAATTAATATACATGAAAAAAAAATATTAAATATTATGCTGATTAAATCAATTAATATCAAAAGACCATTCATTTGCTTAATTACATAAGTATAAATAATTGTTCACAATATATATATATATATATATATATATATATATATATATAAACATATATTTAATGCATCATATTTAATCTGAATATTTTACACAAAGTTTTTATATTTTATCTCAGAGATGGATATTCATTTATAACAATCAGAATTATAAAATAATAATAAATAATTATTTTTTGCAAGAATTTGTGTCCTTAGTATTTTAAATTTTACAAATTTGTATTTACAAAAATTGAAATCAGATTTAGAAATTTAATTACAAAAGAGGAAGTATGAAATTTTAATTTGTTACAAAAATAAGTTGGTGGGTCAGCCCTCTAGGCCGAGCTAAGTTTACCATCTCTAACTATCAGCATATAATATGTTTTTATATTTGTCCAAAAAAAAAAGTTCTTATAGCCGCATTTAGGTTTTTATATTTTATCTCCAATATGGACTTTTATTTATTACAATCACGTTTAAAAACTAATAATAAATAGTTATTTTTTTGCAAGAATTTGAGTCGTTAGTATTTGGAATTTTACAAATTTGTATTTACAAAATTAAAATCAGATTTATTAATTTAATTATAAAAAAAGGATAAAATTTTAATTTAATTATAAAAATATATTGGTGGGCCGGCCCTCCGGGCCGAGCCCAGTTTGCCACCTCTAACTATTAGCATGTAATATATTTTTATATTTATCCACACAAAAAAAGCTCTTATAACTGCGTCTAGGTTTTTATATTTTATCGCAGAAATGAACTTTCATTTATTACAATCAGATTTACAAAATAATAATAAATAATTGTTTTTTTGCAAGGATTTGTGTCGTTAGTATTTGAAATTTTAAAAATTTGTAATTACAAAAATTGAAAAATTTAATTACAAAAGAAGAATAGTGGAATTTTAATTTAATTATAAAAATAAGTTTAGTGGTCAGTCCATCGGGCTGAACCCAGTTTGCCATCTCAAACAATCAACATGTAATAGATTTTTAAATTTATTCACAAAAAAATATTCTTATAGTTGCGTTTAGCTTTTTATATTTTATCTTAGAGATGAAGTTTCATTTATTATAACAGATTTAAAATAATAATAAACAATTATTTCTTACAACGATTTGTGACGTTAGCACTTAAAATTTTCAATGCATTATAAAATACACCATTGTTTAAAGAACCAAGTAACATCATTAAGTCTTTCCAAAACAATGTGGTATAAGTTGTTAAGAATTATAATTTTATATTTTCTGACAATGATTTGTTTTTTTTCCTTGTCACAATGAGGAAGATAATTTATAGTGAGTCAAATTTAAAGTTTAAATTAGTTAGTTTTTGTTTGAGTCAAATTTAGAATTTAAATTTTAAAAATATAAACCAAGCGTTCAAAAAAACAGTAAATATTTTGTTTTTAAATTAGACGCTCGAAATTCTTTTTATCCTTTTTAAACAGATATTAAAATTTAAAGTTTAAATTTGAAATGGTTTGAGTCAAATTTATATGAAATGTTTTTTTTTTTTTTTGAGAAATAAGTTTGTTGAAAATGTAGAGAAGGAAAAGGGTGTGTAATAAGTTTGACTCACTATAAATTGTAAATATTAGGTCTTTCCAAAACAATGTGGTACAAGTTTTTAAGAATGATATGGCTATATTTTCTGACAAATAATTGTTTTTTTTCCTTGGCAAAATGAGGAAGTTAATTTATAGTGAGTCAAATTTAAAGTTTAAATTAGTTAGTTTTTGTTTGAGTCAAATTTAGAATTTGAATTTTAAAAATACAAACCAAGCGTTCAAAAAACAGTAAATTTTTGTTTTTAAATTAGATGCTCGAAATCCTTTTTATCCTTTTTAAATAGATATTAAAATTTAAAGTTAGAATTAGTTAGTTTTTGTTTGAGTTAAATTTAGAATTTAAATTTTAAAAATACAAACTAAGCGTTCAAAAAATAGTAAATATTTCATTTTTAAATTAGACGCTCGAAATCCTTTTTATCCTTTTGAAACAGATATTAAAATTTAAAGTTTAAATTAGTTAGTTTTTTGTTTTAGTCAAATTTAGAATTTAAATTTTAAAAATACAAACCAAGCGTTCAAAAAATAGTAGATTTTTTGTTTTTAAATTAGACACTCGAAATCATTTTTATCCTTTTTAAACAGATATTAAAATTTAAAGTATAAATTAGTTAGTTTTTGTTCAAGTCAAATTTAAAATTTAAATAAATTTTAAAAATACAAACCAAGCATTTAAAAAAGAGTAAATATTTTGTTTTTAAATTAGAAGCTCGAAATCCTTTTTATCCTTTTTAAACAGATATTAAAATTTAAAGTTTAAATTTGTTAGTTTTTGTTTGACTCAAATTTAGAATTTAAATTTTAAAAATCCAAACCAAGCGTTCAAAAAACAGTTAATTTTTTGGGTTTAAATTAAACGCTCAAAATCCTTCTTATCCTTTTGAAACAGATATTAAAATTTAAAGTTTGAATTAGTTACTTTTTGTTTGAGTCAAATTTAGAATTTAAATTTTAAAAATACAAACGAAGTGTTCAAAAAACAGTAAATATTTTGTTTTAAATTAGACGCTCAAAATTCTTTTTATCCTTTTTAAACAGATATTAAAATTTAAAGTTTAATTTTGAAATGATTTGAGTCAAATTTATATAAAATGTTTTTTTTGAGAAATAAGTTTGTTGAAAATGTAGAGAAGGAAAATGGTGTGAAATAAGTTTGACTCACTATAAATTGTTAATATTAGGTCTTTCCAAAACAATGTGTATAAGTTTTTAAGAGTTATATGACTATATTTTCTGACAATGATTTGTTTTTTTTCCTTACCTTAATGAAGAAGATAATTTATAGTGAGTCAAATTTAAAGTTTAAATTAGTTAGTTTTTTTTAGTCAAATTTAGAATTTAATTTTTAAAAATCAAACCAAGCGTTCAAAAAACAGTAATTTTTTTTTTTAAATTAGACGCTCGAAATCCTTTTTATCCTTTTTAAACATATATTAAAATTTAAAGTTTAAATTTGAAATGGTTTGAATCAAATTTATATGAAATGTTTTTGTGGAGAAATAAGTTTGTTGAAAATGTAGATAAGGAAAAGGGTGTGAAATAAGTTTGACTCACTATAAATTATTAATATTAGGTCTTTCCAAAACAATGTGGTATAAGTTGTTAAGAATTATATGGCTGTATTTTCTGACAATGATTTGTTTTTTTTCTTTGCCAAAATGAGGAAGATAATTTATAGTGAGTAAAATTCATCGTTTAAATTAGTTAGTTTTTGTTTGATGTCATTGTTTAAGAAATTCTTTTATCCTTTTGTATTATGTTTTCGAATTGAAGAGTCATCAATTTTTAAAGGATGATGGTTTCAAGGCTAATTTTTAAACGAGGAAGAGTCTTCAAGCGGTGGTCGACGGAGACCGAATCCTCAACAACCCCTTGTGATTAAATTTGGCCAATGAAACTTAAAAAAGAAACTTAAGAAAGGAATAGAACTGAAGGAAGAAGAAAGGGAAATACTCGCTTGAAGAGAGAATAAAAGTCTTAAGAGTGAAAAAGTTAATTAAAAATATTTTGTTTAAAATTATAATTGTTAGGACTGTACAAATAAATTTAAAAAATTTAAAAATTAGTTTTTGATAAATTATATGACATTATCTTAAAAAGGGTATTTTAGTTTATTTGTATCATATCCTGATGATATCTGGTTTGCCTCAAACACATGATAAGATAACATAATCTTATCAGATTGCTAATCAGGTGCTTATGAAACACAAGACATGATATGAGGCTGATATCATACCCTACCCTTATCCAACTCTCTTATCTTATTCGTTTTTATCCTATCATGTCTATCAAACGAGCTCATAGTGTAATTAATGATAAATTAATATTAATTAATTTGAATGACTTCCTATTATAATCATTGGATGCATGGAAATCAACAGTTAAGATGTTATGTAAGACTTATTAGTCTTACATCAGTGTAAAATGATGATCATGATCCATATATATATGTTACTAAAATGAAAGTTATAAATTGTTTTTAAATTTTTAATAGTACTTATTCTATTATTTAAAACTTCAGATATTAGATATTCGAATTTTCATCTAACCGCTCAATTAAGGGTGTAAATAGGCTAGGTTAAGTTTTGGCTTAAATAGACCAGGTCTGTGTTAAAAAATTTAAGCTTGATCTGGCCTGTTAGTCTGCGTAGGCCCAAATTACAAGTCTTG